ATTTAAAAAAAAAAAAAAAATACACAACACTTAGTGTTTGTGTGTCGTAGAATTAGTTCCCCCCAAAAAAAGAAAAAGCCAGTTTTTTTAAATGGACTTAAAGTAAACCAAATAACTGCTTACTTTTTTCTGTATATTATGAAAATATGAACACATTTTAAGGAAAAACAAAACAAACAAAAAAAAATAAGAAAAAAACTTTTATCTGTTTAAAAGAGAATACAAGCCTGCCACCTGGAGGAGTGATTGTAGCCTTTCAGGTATCAAGTGCTGATTCACTATGAAAACTATTAACCAAAGTCAGAAACACGGCATTGCAAACTAGATTGTTAGTCTACTCTTTTATGAGCGTAAAATTGTGTTATGAATTTTTACATTTGTATTTTGCAAAGAGAAAAACAACAGGATTAGTTTTCTTTCATTCTTGTTTGCACCCCTGCAGGTGTGTGTACAAACAGGTGTTGAAGCCATTCCATAGCGGTCACCTCGTTCTCTTTTAGTCCAGAGTTTTGCAATCTCCTAGTGTTTGGGTGCCAAAAAATAACTTCTTTTTATTGTGACTGGTGGGGTATGGTGTTTCTCTTCTAAGGGTGTCTGTCTTGGTTTTCATTTTTCTATTTTTATTTTTTGTTTCTGATTCTATTTACTGCCTCCTCCCTTCCAGCTCATTCTCCGCCCCTTCCCCAAACCCACATAACCCAGTACTGTTTGAAGACTTTTACAATGATCCACTGAAATGCAACTGAGGACCAAGAAGGATTAGGATTATGTCTGATGGACTGTCAGCCCACAGTGAACGTTGTGCTTTTTGTGGAATGTGTGGCTTGGGATTTCTCTGTCCTTTGGCTGGGAACCTGGAGAGGTTACCACACCTCATTTTGTAGTATAAATATAAACTGCACACTTGGTTCAGTACTGCATCTGTATTATGGTTCCATTTGAAGCAATTTCTCTCCAAAGTCTGCTAGCCAAAGAAATTTCTTGAGATTCTGACGAAAACAAATTGGCAGACCGAGAAGAGGCAAGGAGGTTTTGATCATTAGATCACTATGGACTGTTTCAATGGTAGTGCTTTGTTCCTTTTGCCTTTTTTTGGGGGTTATCCTGATATTTATTGGTGCCTGCCCTGTTGACTTCTTCAGTAGGATGATGTGTTTGCTGACACCACTGGCTAGCCTAAGCAACTGGGATGTACAGAAACCCAGTGAATATCCCTTGGCAATGTAAGGTGGCTCACCTGCAATATGAAGGTGAACTGATTTTCCTTTAAAGACAGTTTACCTTTGTGGCTTCCTTTCTGACTGGACAAACATCACTAAAATACTGTGGTCATTGGACCTAAAAGTATACCAAGGCTTAGGGCGAGAGAAAAGTGTTGCAGGTTCTTGATGGGGTATGGGCTGACCCGTGAGGGTTGTCTGCAGTTTTCATCTTTGGTTGAGTTCTGCTCCAGCCTTTGGGGTTCAGCCCTGTTAGGGTGAAAGCTGCATCTTGATCAGGTCTTCCCAAAAGAAAATATCAGGGATTTGGTTCAGCTCACTGTAGAAATGGTAAAATTCTGCTAGTATAACTCCTGATTGCAGTCCTTGACCTTAGGATGGCTATACTGGATCCTGGTTTACCCAGGATGCTGGTCTACTCAGGATGTGGAAGTAAGTTCCTGAAGTGCTAGAGTCTTCAAATAACACCTCTTTTATTACCAGAGTTTCCCAGAACTCAAGAACTCCAAAACTTAGTGAAAGAAACAGACTTTCATTGATGTCAATAGACTTTGAATCTGGCCCTCGCTATTTTATTAATGGGATTTGCCTTGTAGAGTGTGGCATTTGCTACATGGCTGGGAGAGTTTTAAGGTTTCAGAGAACCATCATCTGGGCCAGAAACTGCTTCTAAATGTGAGCACTCTCAAAGGTCAGGGCTGGAGAGCACTGACAATCCAGTCCTCCAGGATGGGCTCACATCCAGCAAATGCATTTTAGGCTTTAAGCTTCGGCAGGGTGTGTTTAAGGATATTTCCAGTATTGCTTTTATGATGAGGAGAGTGAGGATTGTTATTGACTCTTTTTCAGCTGTTGATATATAAATAACTGCTGGGGGAAAAAAAACACCTCAGTAACCACAGGCAAATTGCGAGGGACAAAGAAGATGCTTTACCCAAGCTGAGCATGTAAAGTGAAGACAGTCTCATGGCTACATCTGCCCCTCTGAGTGTTGTTTTTTTTTCTGCCCTCTGTCTCCAAACATACCTATATCCACAGAAATATCTCTGTTATCTATATAAAACAGCCCTAAATTTGTGGCCACTGGTCAATTTACATAACAATCAGACTACCAACTAGAAGCCAACAGGGAAGCAGGGAGGAACGGATCGTATTTGGAAGCAAATGCTCCTGAAACCCTACCCATGTCTTCAGTACACTCCTAATTGCCCAGTCATTAATGCCACATACACGATTACCTGTTCAGTCACCCTTAAGACCATACCCTCCCCCGCTCCATCCCCATCGACAGCCTGGGAACAAAACCATCAACCATTCTTTGCCTAAAAATGAAATTTCCAATTCTCCCGGGGACTGCTCTAAATTCTGTGAAGAAAAAAATCCCTCAAGAAAAAAAGTTAACTAAACAGTGTATGAAAGATACTAAATGTTTAAAAATATGCTGGCAGCAGTTACATAAGCTCTTTTCTGTTCCAAAGTACATATCAGAAGGATAAAACTAGGACAGTGAAAATGTAAAATAAATATAAATTGCCAGCTTGGAAGAAAAAATAATGTTCATCCCAGAGTCTTAAAACCATTCATGTGCAGTGATTTTTTTTACAGTTTTCTAATTTTGTATTATGTTTTGTAAATTATTTATAAAGTGTTGTAATGCTTCTTATATTAATTTTTCTATAAACAAATATTTGCAATGAGGCATAAATGGTGCCTGAACAGATTCTTAGGAAGATAAATTATGTGTGAGTCATATATCTTTGGGAGGCCATAAATATTTTGTTTTATTTTGTTACTAGCAACATTTCTCATTTCCATTTGTAAACAATTTTCTTGTACTGATAACATTTGAATACCTTTTAATTTTGCATGTGACTAAAGGATAGATTGCTACCAGCAAATGAAACAAAAGTCTCTTCAGTCATATGGGATGGTTTAATGGTTTTCCAACTTATTGATCATTGAATTTTTTTTTAATATATGTATAAATATTATTTGAACAATGAACAAAGGGTTCACTTACTGTTCTGATTTTGTCTTTTTACGTTTTCACTAAAAAGCTATTTTGGACAGTTGAAGAAATCAAATGCATTCAAATGGTTCCAATTTCTTTATGTTACTACTGAAAAAGAAAAAAAAAAAAAAAAAAAAAAAAAAAAAAAAAAAAAAAAAAAAAAAAAAAAAAAAAAAAAAAAAAAAAAAAAAAAAAGCCAAAAAAGAAAATAAAAGAAAAGAAAAAAAAAATAAAAAGAGAGAACAAGGAAGCAAAAAGGAGCTAGGAAGGAACAAGTAGAGGCGTATCAAAGAACTCAAGCTATAACCAAAAAGAAATATGTAAAATGCCTTTGCTCGTCTTCTCAATGCTGGACCAAAGCTCAATGTATGTAGGTATATGCACATTGTATAGATATGGCTAAATGTTGCTGACAATCTTGCAATACTAAACTGTTACTATTTAAAAAAAAAAAAAATACAAAAATAAAACTGTTCATCAGTGTTTTACCTCAGCACTCTACTTGTACCCAGTTATTGACCAACATCCAAATAAGAAGATAAGAGAGGAAATTGATTTCCATGTCAATGTTTGACTGTAAAATCTGTTTGGAAAACATTTTGTAATGAGCTTTTCGTCACGTGGTTTGCTTGTTTCCAACTTGAGATTATGTGGGGCACATTTGTTTATTTATTGTTAAAAAGTGATATTATTTAATATTATTTAATATTATTATTATTATTATTATTATTATTATTTTTGTCTTATGTGCTATGAACTACAGAATGGTCACCAGGGTCACTTATGAAGCACTGCAAAGAGATCTGTTTTTCCATGCATGGAGCATGCAGCAGGAAAGATGGCAGTACAAAATGGACTGTATTGTGTTAAAAAAATACAAATAAATGCAAAAGGAGTCGAGATGGTGGACTTGTGACCAAGAAAAACTGGATATTTAGAAGCTCCTTACTACTCTGACTTTGAAACCAAAGCTGATTTATCTGCACAGGTTGCTTAACATGAAAAAAAAATAAAAAAAAAAAAAACTGACAAAAACTGTACTTAATCTAGAGCAATATCTGTATGGTCAGTAAAGCTGCACTTTGTGTATTTCTTAACAGCTTCAGATCTGTCACTTTTAATTTGTACCATAAAAAATAAAGAATTGTTTGACATGAAAAATAAGCTCCTTTCATGTGTTTGTCCTAAATCTCATGCATTATTTACATTATCCAAGCTCATGTAATTTCACATCAGTTCAATACAAAAAGAGTTAAATGCTTGAAAGAAAGGAAGAAAGAGAATCCATTTGCACTGTGAGGCATTAACTTTTATCTGCAAAACCAAACGCTGTTTCTGTACCCAGAGCGGGTGCACGCACTGGCGATGTCTTATTCTCTCCACAGGGATGGAGAGTAGAGGATCCACCTCAGGAATATTCTGGAATCGCTCAGGTGAGTGTGTGTTATCCCCCAGGCCAAAAGGAGCAGAGCACAGATGGACATGAAGGCCAGAAACAGCGTTATCTCCCCGTGCTTCCTCAGTTCCATAACCAAGTCCTGGTAAGTGAGAGGAGGGGAGTGTGGCAGCGAGACTCGGTCAGACATTCAAATGACTTCTCTGGCATTTTTGCAGAGACTTTTTTCCTAGATTTTGTTAAATACTGTTTTCCATTTCCAATATCCTGCGTTAAATAATCAAAAAGTAAACCAAAATTATTATTTGCATAGGAAACACAGGGAGCACCTGGAATATTTATTTATCCTGATTTTTTTCCAGATTGGAATTTTCCTTTTCCACGCTTTTTTTCTGTATTTTGTGGGGTCCATTAGAAAGAGGAAGAAAAGATAGCTTTCTTGTAGATATTTTGATAGAGGCTTCATAAACAAGGCAGATACAGAAGAGGTATATACCTGCTCCACAGCAAGCACAGCGTGTAGCCTGGCACACCCTAGACCCGTAGGGGCACCAAAATTGCATCAGCTCCACCAGGCATCGTCTCTCCATACCGTGGTCTAGCAGCCATACTTCAAGCCCACGTAATTCATCTACTTCTACGATCCAAGGGCATGAAGGATGACCCTTTGTGCTTTCATATCAACTACTGAAAGCTGAACACCTGTCTTTTCATTCAATAGCAGCAGAGCAACAAGCAGACACTGGTTAGAGGTTTTTCCCCCCTAGTCTATTTAAAAATGCAAAACTTCCTCTTTTGATCATACTATAGGTGTATCAGCTGCCTCACAGGCAGCTGACCCTACCCAGCCATTATAGACCCAAATAACCTGGATCTATTTTGTTGCAAGAAATAGTGACTTTGCAAATTGAATCGTGTTCCCACTGATCACTGAAATCTCAAAATTGATCCAACCTTAAAGCTCATGACTTCACGTGCACACACACACACACACACACACCCCCTCACTGACTACTTAAAAATCAGATTTCTAGAAATGGCTATTTCAGAGCTCCTTAAGTACAACATAAAGGACAAAGAGCTTTAGGAGCACGATGCTTTCCATTCCTCTCTGTTGTCCTTCTAGCAAAAAAAAGCCCACCCACCCCACCCCTGCCCCCCAAAAAATAGAACATTTTTTCATTATTCTTGATAAAAAATAAATGTTGTCTGTGCCCTGCCCTTCCCTTAAGACAGGTGTGATGGGGGGAGAGCTGGCACTAAGCTCAGAGAACAACACCAGAAGTTGTTTTTATACAGCCTATACCCCTGTGCAGATGCTTTAGGACTGATCACAGTCTAAATCCATACCTGTGAGAAAAGCTTATGGTGCTACCAGGGCTTTGATAAGCAAGGACTCTTCTACTGCCTTAAACTTCAATTAAACAAGCACTCAGGAAGCAAAACAGACTTATCAAGAGGGAGGGTTCTCTTGTGGTTTGTTTTTTTAATCTGAGAATTCAGGTTTAATATGAATCAGTCCCGTATGAGACTGTGAAGTTCTTAAAAATAACTGATAATTTAAAACTTGGAAATATTTTTTCCTTTTCTCTCCCTGTCCTCAACAGACCTGTAGGCTGGGTTTTTCTCTCACTCACAGTTCTTTACTGTTGCATTTTGCCACACTGTGGACAGACAACATTGGCCCAGACTGAGAAGAGAGTCACCGTGTAGACCACCAGCAGCGAATGTTTTTCAATCCAGACCCCAATTGCCCTGGTTTCTCTAAAATGCCAGCAGCAGCAGCCTTGTATAATCACCAAAGCAACTGCAGGGAGGACATGTAGCAGTTCATGTGAGCCTTTAATTTTATTGGTCACTGAACTTCTTGTATTACTGCAAGATCAGTGGCCTCATGTCAAAACACTTTTCAGCCCAGGAGCTGTGTGTGTGATCACAGGCACACTCAGTGTGGGTAGGCCTTGGGTCAGGCCACAAACTCACACACAGCATCAAGGGGCAGCAAAAAAATGGCTTTGGAGGTACCAAGACCGTGGTAGGGACTACATGAGTGGGACGGCCCTAAAAGAACACAGGATTCAGTTTTTGTGGTGTTGCAGCTTAAAACTGTGGCCCAGCCTCCGCCAGCACAGCATCAACAAGTTGGTCAGGTATAAACTCACTCCCTTCTTTTCAGACATTACATAATGTTGGTGTTCAGCTAATGACTTCCTGGTCATTAGCTGAACAAAATTCCATGCTCCATCCAATCTATCCATCAGCACCACCAACACGAAGATCTCCCACCCTGTATGTTCTCTGTCAGTGATGGTCCCAGAGTAGTTCTTTAAATGGTTGCAGGATCCTGATGGTCTTAGAAGACATTGCACAAATCTGAATTTTGTGTGGCAATTTGCAATTTATCCTGGGGAAGCCAAGATTGTGCCAGCAGCGTGGATTTCCTGGTTGTAGCCTGTAACCCCTGCATGCCCACACTTCTTTTTTTCTTAAAGTCAGCTTGGTTTCATTAGCAAATGTGCTGAGGGTGCACTTGACTTTTTGTCTATGTCATTAATGAAGATATTAAATAACACTCATCCCAGTACAGACCCCTGAGGGACACCACTTGTCCCTGATGTCCACTGGAACTCTGAGCCATTCACCACTACCCTCTGGATGCAACCATCCAACCAATTTCTTATCCACCTAACAGTCCACTCATCAAATCCATTTCTCTCCAGTTTAGAGAGAAGGACGGTGTAGGGGAACGTGTCAGAGGCTTTACCCTGTAACCCTCCCCTTGTTCACTGGTATAGTCACTCCACCATAGAAGGTCACTGGGTTTGTCAGGAAGGACTTTCCCTTCGGGAAGCTGTGCTGGCTGTCTTCAACCA